TCATTTGAATGCCTTCCCGATTGAATTGGTAGTTCAAATTTGATATGAGTAAACTAGACTTAATGAATAAGATTCTAAAAAAAAATCATCAAAAAATTCCACCGGGAACCACCCCAAATGGCGTTAGCCAGACATAACAGCCTAAATATGACCTTATTTGACATTTTTTTTCGAAGTTCGAGGCCCTATCTGACCCTTATCCCTATAAAGTTAGATATGTCAAATGACAACAAGAAATTTTGACATATTTGTACCAAACAAAGGAATAAATAGTTATGTTAAAGTCCAAGTTGTTTTGAAAATTTTCTTGATAAACTAGTTATAAAATGATATAGGACAATGTTTGAAGAGAGAAGAAATATTTAAAGGTCATTTTTTACTACTCCTTATCATTGTACTAAACAAAAAAATGTAAATAACATGTTAATATTCAAAAAAGTAAATTGAATTGAAACAATAAAAATGTAACATAAAAGTAAGAGAAATGTCGAGTGGCAGGAAAAATATATAAACTAATAATGTCCCAAAAAGTTTAGAGAATAGTTAAAATCTGGAGTGGTAGGAAGTATAATAAATGCTACGTATTACTCCGTATTTAACAAAAGGTAGATTCTATGGTACCCATAAGGTACCATACATTTGTACACATGGACTAATGAGAATGTTGCAGTTGAATTATTTAAATCTAAATTAAAACTAATATAATGATGTGGACCAATCAAGTGAATGCTAGGTACGGTACCCCATTTTTTAAATGGGTAGCAGAGTTGTCACCTTAACAAAAAAGGGCTCAACAAGAATCGAAACAATGTCACCCGAAACATGTAAAACACTTCACCCATCCATGCTGCTCCAACTATTAGACCATTTACGGGACCGTTAATATTTATCATTATTCTAGAGACGGGGCTGAACATATACACATATGCACACTGCAATCTCCGGCGAACGAGGGGCGGCAGCACTGGCTCGCCCCTGCATGAGACTGTGAGAGTAATAAAAAACAAATAGAATATTATTCTTTCCGTCTCAAATTGATTTGTAAAGTAAACTTTTATTTTCGCTGAACAATTTCATTTTATTCATTTGATCAGTATAGGAATTTTTAATTACATTCTATTTTTGTTTTTTCAACTATATATAGTTTTAATGTAGATATCTGAATATGTAAATTTAAATTATTAAATCAGATTTAGAGGTATTTGATAGGCAGTGCTACTTCAGGTCCTTTACCGCTGTTTGATCGTTATTTTGTTATGTTCTTATTATCACGATATAAGCCTTTTACCATGCAACCGTAGTATATCACTATATCAAATAAAATATATTCAAATACAAGTACTTCTACAATTTCACTCAAATATTACAATATATGTTTCTCCTCTTAGAAGGAGCAAAAACAATTTTAAGAAGCACTTCCAAACCCCGTAGATATGCAATGCATACAGTTATAACTTATAAACTTATAAACCAATAAAGAAATGACATGCATGATTGAATTTATTGCACGATATAAATCTTGGACATTGTTATGTATCAAATGTCTACTTATAAAAGAAATTCTCCTTTGAGAGTTTGAGTATTATTTTTTCTTCATCAAAACAAAGTGCTATATTGATATCATTAGGAATCAGATTGTTACAACAAACTAAAAAATATGAAAATAATGGGAAAGTAGTCCTCCAATAGGAGCCCCAACATGTCTATTTATATTAAAAGAGTTTAATACAGAATATGAAACAAATATGCCTAATAATATTCTATTACACCTCCTCAAACTGTGCGGGAGATACAATGCGCATGTTGTTCTTTAAAAATGAAATTGCTGACTAGAAAGACTTTTGGTAAAAATATCAGCTAACTGCAACTGAGTGGGGATGTGCTTGACAACGAGATCTCCATGAGCCACACGTTCTCTAAAAAATGATAGTCTATCTGAATGTGCTTGCTACGAGCATGCTGAACTGGATTAGCCGTCAGATAGGAAGCAAATATATTATCACAAAACAGGTGAACCGGAGTAGAAACAAGATAGCCGAGCTCAAACAATACAGAACGAATATGTAGGGAATCCTGAACAGTATAAGCAACGGCTCTATATTCAGCTTCCATAGAGGATTTGGAGACAGTAGGCTGCTTCTTGGACTTCCATGAGACAAGATTTGGGCCCAAGAATACTGCAAAGCTAGTCGTGGAACGAGACGTATCTGGACAGCCAGCCCAATCCGCATCAGAGTAAGCAATAACACAAGTAGCTCGAGAGGTAGGCTGAAGCCACAATCCATGATCAAGAGTCCCCTGTAAATATCTAAAAATCCTCTTGACAGCAAAAAAATGAGTAGTACGAGGAGCATGCATAAACTGAGACACTAAATACACAGCATAGGTAATATCAGGTCGTGTCAAAGTTAAATATTGTAACGCATCAACCATACTACGATACTCAGTAGCATCAGCAAGAAGCTCCCCATCAGTGAGGGATAAAGCAGTGCGAGTAGCAAGTGGGGTACAAACACGCTTGAGAGTATGGAGATGAAAACGAGATAAAAGATTAGACACATATTTATGCTGAGATAGAAACAAACCTTTGGCGGATCTGACTGCCTGGACTCCCAAAAAATAATGAAGATCACCCAAATCTTTCATAGCAAAGTGCTGAGAAACAAGCTGAATGAAAGACGCGATAGCAGGAGAAGAATTGCCAGTAATAATTATGTCATCCACATATAGAGCCCGTTTGGTAGCACGAAAATCGGCTGTTTTGGCTGATTCTGCTGAAATTTATGAAATTCTGGCTGAAGTGGCTGTTTTGGTTGATTCTGCTGATTCACGAAAAAAATATTTTAAAAATATATTTTATTAATAAATTATAGAAAAAATTACATGTAAAAATAGCTAAAATAGTCCTTTACAGTAACTTCAGCCAATACAGCCAGAAAAGTAACTTCAACCTTACTTTTTCTGCTTATTACACAATTCAGCACACAAAAGTAAAAGTTACGTGTTTGGTGAAAAAGCTGGCTGATAAGCCTGATAAGCTGAAAAAAGAGGTCTCCAAACGGGCTCATAGTAATAAATAAATGACATTATTATTCTGGCGAAAAATGAATAGCGAATTATCAGACTTGCTGCACGTGAAATGGTGAGATAATAAGAAGCTACTAAACCTATGAAACCATGCACGCAGGGCTTGCTTAAGACCATAAATGGATTTTCACAAACAACATAAATGATTAGGAACCAAGCGATGAATAAATCCCCGCGGCTGACGCATATATACCTCTTCAGTGAGATGACCATGTAAAAACGCATTTTTAACATCTAATTGACGAATAACCCACCCAAAAGAAATAGCTAAGGTAAGTACAATACGAATTGTGGTGGGTTTAATTACTGGACTAAAAGTTTCAGAAAAATCCACACCTGCCTATTGATTAAAACCCTGAGCAACCAACCGAGCTTTGTGACGCTCAATAGATCCATCAGAATTATATTTTGTCTTATAAATCCACTTAGAGCCCACAACATTCTTAGTATTATCAAATGGAACTAAATCCCAAGTATTATTAGAAATAAGAGCATTAAATTCTTCTGCCATTGTCTCACGCCATTTTAATTGTTTATTAGCCTCTGAAAAACAAGTAGGACCAGCTGATAAAGCAACAATGTTTAAATTAAAAATTGTTTTTGGTTTAAAAATTCCCGACTTCGCCCGAGTTTGCATGGGATGATGATTAGCAAGAGGAACGGGAGGCGAAGATAGATGAGGCGGATTGGCCGTGGTCTGTGGCATCACCAGGACGTTTTCAGGTGGAGGGGCAGTATCTACAGGCTCGGCTAAAGGGCTATGAGGCTGTGAGGGAGGCGGATTGGGTACAGGAGTATGCAGCAGCCGGTTCTGGGTATTGTTGTGGATTCGCAGAGTGAAGGCTGGGCAAGGATGGGTTGGTGTGAGGGGAGATGTGTGGCCAGTGTGAGAGTTCGGTGTGGGAGAGGGTGGTGAGTGAACTGTAGGTATAAGGAGTGTGCTGGACGGTTCCTTATGTGGTGAGGAGGATAGGCTATGGTTTTGGGAAACAGAAGCTGTATTAGTGAGAGTGAAGTCCTCAGAAATAGTGGAAGGGTCATGACCCGTAGACGAAGACAAGGTGGCATATGGAAAAATATTTTCATGAAAACGAACATGCCGGATAATAAAAATTTTGTCAGATTTAGGCTCAAGACAACGATAACCCTTAAAACCAGATGCATAGCCAAGAAAGACACACTGAACAGATCGATGTGAAAGTTTGTTGGAAGAGGGAGCAGAAAAATTTGGTTAACAAGCACACCCAAAAATACGTAGTAAACTATAGTCAGGAATTTTGTGAAAAAGTTTTTCATATGGTGAAGCACCAAAAAGGGTAGGAGAGGGAAGCCTGTTAATAATGTAAACAACTGTGAAAATAGCATCAACCCAAAAATTGCTAGGAATGGAAGCTGTGATAAACATAGTCCTAGCAAGTTCTAGGAGATGGCAATGCTTACGTTTAGCAACCCCATTTTGTTGGGGAGTATAAGGACAAGATTTTTGAAAATATATGCCATGTTCAGCCAGAAATTGTTGCATAGGAAAATTAACAAACTCACTGCCTCCATCACTTTGAAAAACCTTAATTTTAGCATTGAACAAATTCTCAACTAATAGTTTAAAAAGACGAAACTGAGTAAACACCTCGTTTTTAGTGCGCAAGGGGTAAATCCAAGTGAAACGAGAAAAATCATCAATGAAGCACACATAATATTTAAATCCTAAATTTGATAACACGGGAGATTGCCACACATCATAATGAATTAATTGTAATGGAGAAGAAGAATTATGACTAGCATCTGAAAAGGGTAATCGTTGAGATTTACCCAAACGACAAGAAACACAATCAAGTTCAAAATTTGAAGAATTAGAAATAAGTTTTCTACTACGCAACAGGCGTAAAACAGATTCACCACAATGTCCTAATCTACGGTTCCACACAGGGCCAGAAGGAATAACTGTAGCTAGAGCTAGAGGTGCAGGTGGACTGAGGCTGATAGGGTAGAGATGACCATTATGACGCGCCTGAAGAAGAACTGTCCCCGAAAGTTTGTCCTTAACAAAAAAGGAATTTTTATCAAAAATAGCAACACAGTTGTTATCAACACACAATTTTTGGATAGAAATTAAATTTAATTTAATTTGAGGCACATGAAAAACAGATTTCAATGACGGCGGGCGGCTAGAAGTATTTAATGTAATATTACCAATATTAGCAATAGGAAGTTTAATGCCATTTGCAACACTAACAGACATGGTGCCAAAATAAGGAGATTTATTTGACAAAATACCTTCAGATGATGTCATGTGAGCAGAAGCTCCAAAATCTGGATACCACAAAGCATCATTAGTTTCCCCAGACGGAGCAACCAAGGCAGGTGCAGATGGCTGTGAGAAGCGAGACGAACAGTGTAAGGCGGAATGACCTGCAGAAAAACAAATTTGACACACAACCGGGGGAGGAACTGACCCAAGAACACCCTCAGCTGATGAGAAACCTGCATAATGAAAGTGAGTGCCAGAAGTAGATTTAGCATTAATATTATAAATGGACAAGACAGATTTACCGGATGGAGCATTATTGGGCCTCAGATTATACACACCCCCTGCGGCCAAAGGCTGGGGTGCGGGCAGATTGCCTGGCTGCTGCTGTGGATACCCCTGCTGGCCGTAGGTCTGCTGATGTTGGAATCGGCCCTTTCCACGGCCTGCTCTGCCTTTGCCGCCTCTGCCGCGGCCTCCTCTGCCGCGGTATGCGCCATTGTCAGGTTGATGTCCAGGTGGATTGTGGGGCTGGCCGTGACCCACATGTGCTCCAAAAGCCGGCCGCAGAGAGGAAGCATCCTGCTGCATGTGTAGAACTTGTTGCTCGGCTTCCATGAGACGTGGGTGGAGAATGTCGGGTGGAAAACTCTCAGGAAATAATGATATAGTACCCGTAATAAATTGATACTCAGGCCCCAATCCACTAAGTGTGCTTTGAAGTAATTCTTTATTAGTCACGGGAGAATTTATCGTAGCTAATGCATCAGCCAGATTTTTAATATCACGTAAAAAGTGTTCCATAGACGGATTTGGTTTCTTTTTGGTATTGTTCAACAAACGTTTGAGTTCCATAGCTCTAGGCAAACTGGCAGACATAAAACGAAATTGCAACCTTGCCCATATACCAAAGGAATGTTTAATATCATGTACATTAGTTAATACATCCCGAGAAAGGGGGCAAACAACCAAGAACAGATTGTTTGATCCACCCGAAGCCAATGATAGTAATCAGTATTAACGATGCACTGATTATTAATATCCAAAGTATACATGGGAGGTACCTGAATTGTGTTGTCTACAATACCAAAAAGTCCATGTGACACGAGGAATGACTCAAACTGAGTCCGCCATGTAAGATAATCTTCCACCGCTTTAAGTTTAATAGTCACAATTTGACCTACATTAGCTATCCCGTGGGAAACTAATTGTGCTAATGCTGCCATAGGAGAACCAAACAGCGGATTATCCTGTGCGGGCCGAGTAATTCCAGGCAAACCATCAAAGGTCGGCCCAAAGTACGGAGTGCTGACCGACTGCGGATTTGGCGTGACCTGAGGGAGAACCATCTGCGGGTGAGGAGTTGGTGTGGCCTGGGGAATAACTGGAACAGATTGCGGCCACATAACCTGCGGTTGTGGTTGTGGACTTACTGAATTCATGTCGGGACCAACCTGCTGCCATGGAAACTGTGGCGGCAAGGTTTCAAATAGAGAAAATTGTGGTCCGACAGAATAAGAACGAAGGTCCGACACTATGGGAAAAGAATAGTGCATCAATTGAGAAGACTCTGGAGCAGCAGTCGTACCAACCGATGAAGAGAACGTATCGGGATTGCAGTGGTTGTTGGCATGTCCTCAGCGGAAGAAAGCGGCGAAGAGTCACCGGAGGAGATGATCGGTGCCATGGAGAGCTGCGGTTGCGACATGGCTGCGTCGATTTTGAGAGAGAGGAAAAAAATAGGATTTTTTTCTTCTTAGGCTCGTGATACCATGTGAAAATAATGGGAAAGGAGTCCTCCAATAGGAGCCCCGACATGTCTATTTATATTAAAAGAGATTAATACAGAATAGGAAACAAATATGCCTAATAATATTCTATTAAAAAAGACCAACCGTGACAACAACTATCACTATCCGACTAACACAATCAACTCTACGGCTAGACTCAGAGACGATCACCCCTGAAAGAGCAATATGAATCGCTAACCACCAAGTGGGTGTGACACAACAATCATTGGGCTATAGATCCTTTTAACGATATAATATCTAGCAGAATTATCAATCATAATTGTAAACCTAAAACTAAAGACATAAAAAAACAATTCGGAACAACATAAAACATAACACGAAAATACCATAAAAAACTAAATAATTGATAAATCTTCCAACCCCTAGAACCCCGATCGCTCCAGGCGGCGGTTCAGGAGGGCCTGAGGGGGCGGACCGCCGATCTATCTTCTCCCTTACTCAGCTCTTCACCTATTTCCGTCTTCTCGTCGCCCGTTCCACCTCCACTACCACCACTGTCCTCTATAGGGCTGGGACTTTGGAACCAAGAACCGGAGAACCGAACCGTTATGACTCAGTTCGGTTTGCGCGGTTCCAAATTTTACTAGTTATTTCTTAACGGTTCGGTTCTCGGTTCCTGAAAAAAAATACCAGAAATCGTTAAGGAACCGTTATATATAATAATAAAAAACATATATATTTCTTAGGAGTATATATATATATTTTTTAATGTATATTCACTTATTTATTTTTATATTACATTCATTACTTTAGTTTAGTTATTTAACTATTTAAAACTATTATTCACTTCAACCGGTTCTCTTAGACTTCTTAGGTCTCTCATTAGGTCCAAACGCCAGCAGGTCGGAATTTCGGAAAGTCCATTGTATTTATAATTATTATTCTCTTTAACTAGTTCAACATATTTGTATTGTAATTTCAAACGTCGAATGTCTTTTTGGCAAAAAATTAGTCGTGATTTGTAAGATTTTTTTCAAAGACTAGGAACCGTTAAATGACAAGAATCGAACCGTTAAGAACAGTTCGGTTCCTTATCGGTTCTATAAAATAATTTTTAAGAACCGAACCGTTAGTAAATTTTCATATTTTCAAACGGTTCCACATATTTTGCGTAGGAACTGAACCGGTCCCAGGCCTAGTCCTCTACCCATGTTGATTCAACAAAAAGTAACTCTTTGACCTCCTCCTCAATTGCAGGAATGGGACAACGCTGCTCTAGATCATCCATAGAAGAAATGATAATGGTTTCTTGAACTTTGGATTCATTTCCAAAAGCTACAGCCGCACTCACGCCTCCTTTAAAGATCCAATGGATAATCTTAAAGTCAACTAAATCCCAAAACCAGAACCACCAATCTAAACTTAAAAAACACTCTCGAAGCTTAGAGAAGAAGAGCCACACACACAATTGGCAGAAGGAAATCCTACGCGAGGGCAAAGCCGCTAGGGAGACAAAACCATATGCGACGTTAAACCACTAGGGAAAAAGTGGAACCCTCCTTTGACTATTGTTAGAATTTCTATTAAAATATGAGTTTACATAAACTTGGTTTTGCATAAAAAATTTTTTGAGTTTATTTAGGTAATGTATTGGATTCAATTTTTCTCAATTTTGTTAGATCCAATATAAATATACTCCGTATAATGGATTGTGATGGACGTAATTTGCAAATAAAATATATACAAGCAAATTAAAGGCATCGTTTCTGATCTTTCCTGCATATTAACGTGGCCTGGTAGTGTGGTCTCTGGCAGTCCATATGTAAATATGCGTTTGTCTATTTGCTCAAATAATGAGAACCACTTGGCTGGCTGGCTGCTAGATAGAGAACTAATTTATTCCGTGTAAATTAAATCAAAGTGAACCGAATAATTCTTATTTCATTGTTCTCGAATCGATTCTAGGTTTTTGACATTCTTGATTAATTATTTGATTTAGCACAATCCTATACTCCCACTTTTATCAAATCTTTTTTATGTTTAATTTTGAGTTTGAATGTTTTATTTTATGTATATACATTTAGTTAATAAGCTCGTATGAATAAATTACACTTTTGATCTTACACGTTCATTCGACAATTAGTCCACATGTTTGAGTTTGATCGTCTTTGGTACATGACTATTGAGTTTTTGCTCATATTTGATACTTCCAACAAAGTTTACGGTGTTGAAAATCACTGGAGATAGATCACAAATGATTAAGAAATATTTTTTAAATATCAAAAGTGGACAAAGTGAAAGACGTAACTAAATGTGGAATCGACATAAAACTCATAGGAGTCAAAAGTGGAATTTATTCAAGCTTTTATTGTACTTTATGCTGGAATAGAGTAAGGTTATTCTTTGTCTTTGATTTATATTTTTAATATTTTTTTCAATCCAAAATCTGATAAAATGCATACTTCGTATTTATGTAAATCACATTTATCCTACGAAACAATTAATCAAAGGTTTTGAATTTATTTTTAGATAGCTAGCTGAATTGAGATTGTTTAGTTTCCAAAAGTTCATATACAAATTTATAGGGTGATAGCATAGTATCAATGTACACATAATATATAGTCAAAGAAGTGCAAGTTTTGTTTGTCCTATTCCATGTTCTGCCTAGTTCAATAGATGGATTGAGGATTAATTTGTTCAGGCTCTAGAATTTTATATGCGAATTTATAGGGTTGTATAGTAGAATGGTATAAACCTACAGATAACATTTAGTTGAAAAAGTCTATGATGTTTGAAAGGAATCATTTTCTGCATAATCACCTTTAACTTCATAAATCATAAAATTACGTGAACAACTAGTTCTTCATCCGTGAAATTTCTAAAACAAGAATTTACGAGTTAACGTTCTTGCCGAGATTACAACATTTATATAGCTAAAACTAATCGATGACAATAAAATAAATACAATTAATCCTATTTTATAAATTTATAGGACACTCAAATCATGACAACAACATTATCCCAGTGCTGCCACTCGAATCATGAATTTTTATAAACATTAGTTATGGAAATAAGTTTAAATCTAAATAAAATAAGTGTAACATTCTTACATTCACATAAAATCTACATGTGTGTAATACGACAAAAAAATGAGCAGAGTAATGATAATTACTGTACAAACTTAAACTTTAGAATGCATTTTGTATATGCTAAATTGAAACTGAGTACTCTTCCGGTCAGGAATTCCTGACCGGAACCACCGTCCGGACGGGGCGTTTGGCCGCCTTCCGGGTGGAATTTTTCAATGAAATTTTTATGACATGTTCTCCATCAAGTCTAGTTTATCCACAAAAAAAATCAGCCAAAAACTCATTAGGGAAGGTCGTCAAATGATTTTTGCAAGTTAACTGGTCCGGAAAATACATATTCCGGACCAGTTAACTTGCAAAAATCATTTGACGACCTTCCCGATTGAGTTTTTGGCTGAATTTTTTTGTGGATAAACTAGACTTGATGGAGAACATTCCATAAAAATTTCATCAAAAAATTCCACCGGGAAGGCGGCCAAACGCCGCCGTCCGGACGGCGGTTCCTGTCCGGAATTCCGGACATGAACTTTTGTCTTGTCTTGAAACTAATATAAGTGCGGGGTTATTTTAAATTCTAACATGGACCGCTGATTTTTTTGAAGTCTTTGGTAGCATATATCTCTAGACCAATAAGCAAGTCAACTGCTACTTATTTTGATTTTTTTGTCACTCTACTTTTGTTGATAGTCAAACTAAGAAGGAGAGCCGAATAAAACTAAACCAATACAACCGCATGGATCGGATTAGACACCAAAATGAAATTACAGCTATAAACTAGTATCGTTGTTTACATTGTTAAGGGTTTACTAAGGAGGCGTTTACTTCGCTGCTAAAGTCACGGTTAGGTTAGTAAGACAGGTGAAGTAAACACGCACGCTGCTTAAAAAGCCACTT